AAAAAAAAGTGCTGTAACTGGAGTTTAACAGCTGATATCTTAGGTTGTGTGTTCTGCTCACGCATTCGTAGCATCGGCAAGCAGAGATTGCTCTGTCATATTGTGGCATCAATCTGAACTTTACCTTATCCGGCAGCTTCCTGTACATCCTAGTCCTGTCACCGCTGTCGCAGTGAATGATACAACGGTATTTTCCTTTGTTTAAGTGACATGACAGTTAAGCAGATGTGATCTAGGGGGACATTGCGACATCCTGTGCAACATTGCTGCATCTGTGGTCGATTAATGGTGATCTGTTAGCAGTAGTGAACACCTGCGATTCAAATCTAGTCTTGGATCCGTCGCAGATGATTCTCAGCTTGACATTCAGTACGGTAAGCATAGGTTATATTGAGTTCCTATACGTGCACTTTGCCGGTATTTATAGCAGAGGAATTTGTTATTATTCAGCGCTAATACTCTATCCCTCAATAATCGTCTATAACTTCTGCCAGTTTCAGATGAATGAGTGGGATTCGGATAATGTGGTTGTTTGCGGTACAAGTGATGGAGTAGTGAAGATTTATTCTTGTGTTATGGTAGAAAACGATGGATCTGTGGAGGAGCCACATATGGAACCACAAATGTTAGTTCGTTTAGTTCAATCTCTTTAGGATTACTTTCAGGGTAATGCTGTTTTTTAGAAAGCAAGGAACGTCATCGTCGGCAAGCGTTCACGCTCGACTGGACCGTGTTCGAAGAAGACTGAAAGTAGGCGGCAGTCAAGATACTAGTGAAGCTCACAGTCCAGAACCTCCTGCTAGTCCGATTCTGCCAGGAATGCCATCAAAAGGTGAGTTTCTGTTTTTTACCTAATTTTCTATCTAGTTGTAGACAACTTTTACATTGTTTGTTGCTTGTTACTTTTATATAAAGTTGATTTGCAGGCGTTGACCATTTGACTTGCCCTAAATATGTGAGAGTTCTTATCCAACGAGCAGCTTTGACAGTACATACGGCATTCAATAGACCTGATAACACACATCCAGCTCCAATCACATGTTTAGCTCCAAGCAGGTATGCTACAACACTTCTTTATCTGATCTCATTAATGCTTTTTTTACTATTGTAAATGCTTATCAGAGATCATAAATCGTTTCTGGTTGGAGATGGAGTAGGTCGGGTGTGGTGCTGGCAAGCGGGTGAAGATGGCGGTAGAGCCGATCACTGGGTACAGGTTGGTTTTGCATTGATTTTCGAACAGTTGAAATGCATGGAACTGATTTGCTATGATTTTTTTGATCCACGATCCTAATTCTTCTCTAGGACATGTCTCGGCAAAGGTGTACCCAGTGCGCTCATAAATTTTCTATAGCTGATAGGAAGCACCACTGCAGGAATTGCGGCCAGATTTTTTGTGCAAAGTGAGCTCTTTATTGAAACTATTAGAAAACCGCATTATCTGCTTGCAATCTAAAACCCTCATGTCATTATCAGTCTTCGTGATTGTAGAGAGCTTTGCTTTCTTTTTTGAGAATATTCTCAGATTTTGATTTTATCTCCAAAGTATCTTCTTATTCAGGTGTAGCCGATTTGAATCGCATATCACGCATATGAAGATCTCGCGTCCGGTCCGTGTTTGCCAAAATTGTTTCCTTCGGTTGCGAGCACAAACATAGCTTTTCGGTTGTTGCTCTCGAATTCTTTTATGAGTGAGACAGAGATTTATTCCCTATCATGGCTTTTTAAATGTAATTTATTGTAGTTGTAGAGTGAGGTTCTCTTATGGCACTGAGCATATTATCTCGACGGTGCTCCTCCGTGCCCCTTGTCGCTTACGCTTTTTTTTTTGAATGTTGTGATCCTCATGATTGTGATTTTTTCCCATTTTACTCGGTCTTTGACCATTTATCCATTTGAAATGTGTACCTAGAATATTTTTACATAGGCACCTGCGTGCGCTTCTGCATAACGATCCACTTTGATCCGGCAGTGATTTGAGGTATTGATGTAACTAGAATATATTCTCATCATGGGTTTTCGAGTGTGCATGCGATAATCTTATT